GTCCATGGTCTTGCTGCCCTAGTGCTGTTTCTTTTGAGACTTCTTTGCAGCCGCAGCCTTATCCGCCCCTTCGGCCTTCTTTAAGATTTTGTGAGCTTTGTCATTGGGGTCGACCTTGAGGACGTTTCTCTTGGCTTTCTGCTTGGGCTTGATAGCATCCTTGTGCTGCTTCTTTTGGGATTTCTTTACAGCTTCAGCCTTATCTGCTTCTTGAGCCTTCTTTAGAGCTTTGTGAGCGTTGTCATTTGGATCGATCTTGAGGGCGGTGGTCTTGGCAATCTTCTTTGGCTTGGCAACATCCTTGTTTCCCTTCTTGTGTGACTTCTTTAAAGCTTCGGTCTTGTCTGCATTTTCAGCCTTCTTTAGGATTTTGTGAGCTTTGTCGTTTGGATCGATATTGAGGGCGTTGGTCTTGACTTTCTGCTTGGGCTTGGCAACATTCTTATGCCCCTTCTTTTCTGACATCGGTGCAGCTTCAGCCTTGTCTGCTTCTTCTGCCTTCTTTAGGATTTTGTGAGCGTTGTCATTTGCATCGATCTTGAGGACGCTCCTTTTGGCTTTCTGCTTGGGCTTTGCTACCTCCTGCTGCGCTTGCTTTTGTAACTTCTGTTCAGCTTCAGCCTTGTCTGCTTCTTCAGCCTTCTTTAGGATTTTGTGAGCGTCGTCATTTGGATCGATCTTGAGAACGTTGTACTTGGCACTCTTCTTGGGTTTTGGCACCTCCTGTTGCGCTTGCTTTTGTAACTTCTGTGCATCTTCAGCCTTGTCTTCTTCTTCAGCCTTCTTTAGGATTTTGTGAGCGTCGTCATTTGGATCGATCTTCAGGGTGGTGGTCTTGGCATTCTCCTTTGGCTTCGACACCTCCTGCTGCGCTTGCTTTTGTAACTTCTGTGCAGCTTCAGCCTTGTCTGCTTCTTGAGCCTTCTTTAGGATTTTGTGAGCGTCGTCATTTGGATCGATCTTCAGGGTGGTGGTCTTGGCATTCTCCTTTGGCTTTGCCACCTCCTGCTGCGCTTGCTTTTGTAACTTCTGTGTAGCTTCGGCCTTGTCTGCTTCTTCAGCCTTCTTTAGGATTTTGTGAGCGTCGTCATTTGGATCGATCTTTAGGGTGGTGGTCTTGGTGTTCTGCTTGGGCTTGGCCTCGTCGCTGAGCGGCGCGCAATGAGCCACCTGTCGAGGACACGAAAAACGTGTTAAACGTAAAAGAAGTACCATGACATTGTACAAAACTACCCACCACCGCCACACAGTGAGTACGTTGAAGCATGGATATGAATTAGCCTACTTGGGTTCCTCCTTGCTTGTACTAAGTACACTTTTGCCTACAATGTATGTGGGCTGCCCCAGGTACGATTGACCCCGTTCACATTCGTACTTGTACTGCCTGCACTATTACACAAAAACATCATCCCTGCGCATTCCCCGGCCATAGGAAGGCCCGGATCCTTACCACGGCGCAGGCGGCGAGCAGGGCGGCGAGGGCGAGCAGGTGCTTCATGGTGGCGCGGCGCGGGAGACACACTGTGCCGGCCCGTCCTGATCCGCCCAGATATATCGCGTTCTGCCGCAGCGCGGGAGTCGTGCTCCGCGTCGCGTCACGACGGGCCGTGCCGCTGACGCCGCGCCTCGCGCCCTATAAAACCGAAGATTTCTCGGGAATGCGTACTGTGCCCGCGTCACGAACTGACGTGACGTTACGTAACGTGATGTGACGTGACGTGAAAGGCCGTGCGTGCGTGACTCATCTCATCACGGCTTCTCACTTCTTAATTTTATTTAACGCGACTTTAGTTTTTGTCTTCCTATTTTGTGGTTTCTTCTGAGTAGTCGAGGTTCTGTCTGTGACGAATGTGCGACCGTTTCCAGTATCGGGACCGCATTTTGTGGCTCTTTGCTGATGCCAGTTTGAGGACTCTGCGTCGCGTCCGCTCACAAATATTTGTCTGCCGCCGCGCTGGCGCACCTGATCGTTTCCGCATCACCCGCAGCAGCAGCAGCAGTCGCAGAACACCCGCGGGCCCGTTTGTCACGGCGCGTCGTGTTTGCAACGGCATCGGCGGGGCTTATCTCAAAAACACACACGGAGAGATCGCCCCGCCCGGCCCGCCCCCGGCCCGCACCAAGGGGCCGGCGG